CCCGCGTCCCCCCCCGCGTCCCCACTCACGCCCCTTGGGTGCAGCGAGGGTGTCTGGGCTCAGCGGTGGCAGTGGGTGACACCCGGGGACACCAACACCCCCCCCCCCACACTGCCACCACAGCGACGGCACCCAGGGGTGGGGACAGGAGACACCCCGCTGTCCCCAAGGGCCAACCTGGTGTCCCCAGGGGGACAGGGGACACCCCCGTCCCCAGCAGGGACCAAGGGTTTGGGGTGTTGGGGACACCAATCCCCCCTGCAGCCCGAGGGGACAGGAGCCACCCCGGGGTGTCCCCAAGCCCTCAGTGACGAGCTGAGGGACAGGGACCAGCCTGAGCGTCCCCAGGAGACACCAAGGGCCATCGGGGGGGACAAGGGACAACGGCGAGGGACACCAAGTGTCCCCAGCAGAGACCAAAGCCACCAGGAAGGACGAGTGACCGTGTCTGGGGACCCAACCCAGCCCAGGGTGTCCCCAACGTCCCCCAAGAAGAGCCAAGGGCCACGGGAGGGACAAGAGACGGTTTATAGTGACACCACCCAACCTGAGCGTCCTGAGGGACAAGGGACAGGGTGAGGGACACAAAGAGCTCCCGGAGAGACCAAGGGCCACCAGGAGGGACGTTGGATGGTGCCCAGGGACCCCAACCAGCTCCAACGTCCCCAAGAGCAGCCAAGAACCACCCTGAGGCCCAGGGGGTGGCAGCGAGGACCCCGACCCCCTCCCAGGTGCCCCCTCAGCGCCCCTCCAGGCTCTTGTCGCGGGCGATGGCGGCCTCCTCGAACTTGACCATGAGAGTGGTGCCCCTGTGCCCAGAGGAGACCAAGGGCCACCAGAAGGGACGTTGGATGGAGCCCAGGGACCCAAAGCAGCTCCAACGTCCCCAGGAGAGACCAAGGAACATCAGGATGGGTGTTGGATGGTGGTGAGGGACCCAAAGCAGCTCCAATGTCCCCAGGAGAGACCAGAGATGGTACCAGGAACCCAAAGCAGCTCCAATGTCCCCAGGAGAGACCAAGGGCCACCAGGAGGGACGTTGGATGGAGCCCAGGGACCCAAAGCAGCTCCGATGTCCCCAAGGAGAGACCAGAGATGGTACCAGGAACCCAAGGCAGCTCCAATGTCCCTGAGGGAGACCAAGGGCCACCAGGAGGGACAAGAGATGGTGCCCAGGAACCCAAACGAGCTCAAACGTTCCCAGGAGAGACCAAGGGCCAGCAGAAGGAACGTTGGCCGGAGCCCAGGGACCTCAACCAGCCCCAACGTCCCCAAGAGCAGCCGAGAACCTTCCTGAAGAACCTCACCCCCCTGCCAGGTGCCCCCTCAGCGCCCCTCCAGGCTCTTGTCGCGGGCGATGACGGCCTCCTCGAACTTGATCATGAGGGTGGTGCCCTTGTGCCAGTGGGCCGTGACCTTGGCGGGGAAGCCGCTGGCGGTGAGGACGGCCTCCACCAGGCCGGCGGTGAAGGCGGCGCAGTTGAGGGTGCTGTTCTCCTTGGGGACGGAGATGTAGGTGTTGACCAGGGGCTCCTTCTCGATGACGTAGTAGGTCTTGTCGTCGTCGTTGGCCTGCTCCAGCTTGTCGGCCTCTTTGCCGAAGAGCGCCCGCCAGACGGGGCCCTTGACGAAGAGGAGGATGTTGAGGACCTTGGTCTCCCGCCGCCCGCTCTTCTCCCGGGCCACCAGGGCGTCCAGCACGCGGAGGCCCACCTGGTGGCCCAGCCGGGCCAGCTTGGCCTGCAGCTCGGCCACCGAGTAGACGCGGTTCTGGCAGTACTGCACCAGCTCCGAGAAGAGCAGGGCGAAGGCGCTGAGGCTCACCTCGCAGCGCGGCCGGCCCAGCGCCCGCTCCAGCAGCGGGGACTTGCCCCGGGTGAAACGGGCGTCCATCCTGGGGGGGTACA